GTGTCCATGCTAACAGTGTCCATGCTAACAGAGCCCGTCCTAACAATGTCCATGCTAACAGCACCCATCTTAACAGCGTCCGTGCTAACAGTGTCCATGCTAACAGTGTCCATGCTAACAGAGCCCGTCCTAACAATGTCCATGCTAACAGCGTCCATGCTAACAGCATCTGTTACCCAACACTCCCGCGTCCTTTCCTATGACAGATATGTCTGTTTTTCATTTTTGATGTTAATTTAGCTTCTTATCAGACATACTCACCCAAATGTTTCAAAATTTCATTACAACTCCCCTTCCCCCACCCTTTTTAAAAACTAAACTCAGACTACTTTGCTCTTAAAAGGCCCACAGCTGCTGTCATTGTGGGATCGTTTCATTGCCTTATTTAAACAAATAATGACAAAAAGAGTCATTCTGGTTTGGGGGAGAAAAGAGAAGAATCTGTAAATTATATTGCACTAGCCAGACATTCATGAGAGATTATGGTTTTATGTAAACAGGGTGTTCGCATACGGTGAAGTTAGTGACCATTAACCCTCGCCCTGCTGTGCTGCGGTGAGAACAGAGATGAAACTTTATTTGTGTTATGAGTTATGCAGCTGAGTACAGAGACTGAGGCGGTTTAGGTGTCAGTTGCATCTGTATCTATGCTCCTTGGCATCTGTGATAAGTTTGTCAGAGCAGGACTGGGGTGCAGTGTGCATGACTCTGTAGGTGGTTATGATCTTTTAGAACCCGGGCTTGTGGTCGGTGGTCTAAAGGGTCCACACTGGCTCCGTGTGGATCCAGGCACCACATGTCTCTTGTATGCCGGCACCAGGAACGTGGGCGGGCTGGTGAGGCTGGGAATGGGCATTCCTAAGCTGTGGCACCGGTTAATGAGCTCTCGGTACGTTCAAAGTGAAACCACGCCCATTTAAATCCGTCTCACACGGCAACCTCGTACCTTTCATTTGGAGTCGGGGGGAACCACAGAGACACAAAAGTGCAGCATGTGTGAGTCATTACCTGCGTGGCTGTTTGGTTTGATGGGAGCGCCATAATTCATGTCCCGTGTTCATGCGTGTTCGACCACATGCGTGTCAAAGTGCCGTGGCGAACTCACAAACCGCCTCTCAGAACTGAGGGCCCAGCGTTCAGGCACTCTGAGGCATTTCGAAACAGACATACATCGTGCAAGGCATGGTTATGGCCATGAGATGGCCCCCTTCGTGTTCAACACGAACGTAAAATGTGAAACATACATTTCAGGATTGTGGTTACTTGACGAGTCTGACTGGTACAACCCCGAAGGCCAGTGGAAAAAAAGGGGAGCAGCATTCCAATTGGGAATGATGGGGAATATGTGGAAGATGAGGTGCAGTCCTGTCATGCTCCCAGTCAGTGGGAGACAGAGTGCATGCTGGGAGTCTGCCACCGATCTCTGTGGGTGGTACGGGGGACCACCCCCCCCCAGCCCACCCCACCCCCCCCCCCCACCAGCGATGCTCCCCTCTGGATGTTGTTGTTCTCTGGGATGTTTGTTGTTATCGTTTACAACTTTAAACGAACCCCAAACCAAAATAATAGCACTCAGATCGGCAGTAACGAGCAGAAACGCCCGTGTTCGTGCTCTCAGGCCTTGTAACTGGCGTCAGATGACATTTCACAGCTGCATGCCCTGTGCTCTGTCTAAGTCATTAAAGTTTACTTACAGCAGAACTCGGGTGGAAATATGTCGCCCAGCTGAGGGGACATAAAAAAGAGACATGAAACGAGTGGCTCAAAAACAGCAAAATCTGCCACTTAAAAGTGGCAAAAAATTGAATAATGCAATATAGTAATTCATAAATGTGTTTTGCACTGATAAAATACTAAAAACATCATATAAACAAGACTTTCATGTCTTCAAAGGGGCTACTCCCCGTTCAAAGCGTTTATTTTCGGAGTCGGTGGGGTGGGGGCATTGGAATAAAATATATTTTTACACGCTCGCATGTCGAACATCCAGTGTCCCGATCCCGGCGGTGAACGTGAGTGTGCCGTCAGGGAAGTTGGCCGGGAAAGTCAGGCCCAGCTCACGTGCCACTTTAATGTTTTCCATCTTGAGAGTTGCAGCTCCTTCAAATACTGGAGGGGGGGGGGGGGGGGGCTGCCTCCCCCAGTCACATGCAACAGCACCACCCAGAACAGGTGACCGATTTGCCAAAACGTCAAGTCACATTTAAGTGAGACCATGAAAGGGGGTCAAAGGTTGATTTCTTGCAGGCTGTTAAAGTGTCACCGGTTAAACTTCCTACAGTGACGTTTCTGTCACTGAGGCGACGTGTTTTAAAATGCGATCGTCACTTGTTTGCCGTCATCATGCCTGGTGCTGTCAGTCTGTTGCCCGTAAACATTCTGAACGAGGCCATCGGCTGCGAGAATAAAACGTACGTTCTGTAATATTCGTCAGTCGAGGCTCTCTTCGTGAGCGCCTGCACACGCTGGGCCCGAAGGCTGACGGGATACGCGTCAGGTGCTCCACAGCACGAGCACGCCAGGGCCGGCCCGAGACGCCGTCAGCGCTGCCAGATCCAGCCGGCCCGACCCCTGATCCAGACAGGCCTCGCTGTGTGACTTCACAGACTCCTGCCGGGTTTAAAGCTCAAATTTTCAAGGTCTATTCTTTTTTCCACATCTGGTTGTGAACTGGAACCGTAAGCATGCAGATATAAGAGGGGGTTCCCCTCCCTCTCTTTCTTCCACTTTTTATTATAAATTGCATTTAGCTGTGTCCATGAATATAATTGTTCCTCTTAAGCGTATGCAATAATGTAGTAACCCCTGCCAAATTACTAACAGGCCAGAGTCATAACTTAAGATTTTTAATGATTTTCACAGTGTTTGCCACATATTTTGTGTTTTTAATTAGAGGACACTTCATAATATTTTCCCCTCTCTCTCTCTCTCTCTCGCTCACCCTCACACTGTCCTTCTCTTTTTCAGCAATAAGCATGCAGGCAACAAAACAAACATGTCATATATGAGGTTTTGCAAAAAGATTCATTCTATTAAAAAATACAGCCACTGTGGTTGCACTGTCGACGAAGGGGCGTTAGGGATCCCTTCCCTGTGTCGGAATGGGTCTGACAGTCCCTCTGTGTGGTTTATGAGCTTGGGGGGGGGGGGGGGGAAGGCAGGGAGTCAAGCAAAATGCTGACAGCAGTGACAATTTACTAATAGGTCACAGAAGCCCACATTGCAGAGTGCAACAGATTAAGCTGTTTCTCAGCAGTAATAATGACATTGCAGTGAATATGGACATTAAAGATACCTGTTCAGATGCTGTAGTGAGTCAATCAATTAAAACTGAGCTACATCCCAAATTGGATCAACTATGAAAAGCTGTTAAGGTACTTTTTGAGATACTATTTTAAGTATTTTTACTGATATTTGCTTTTGGCTTTCATGAATGCATTCTCCTGTTATTTTAATATACAGCTCATCCACAATCAAGACACATTAAGTACCTTAACTGGGCTCTTAAGAATTTGTTTCCGGTAAAAAACCAAGCAGGCTTCCCCCTTCAGAGTCTGTCTCCAAACTGGAAAGCCCCAACCTTCATCATCAAATGCTGAAATGTACCTCAAGTTCTGGAGGGACCAAGGCTGAGATCTGTTCCAGGACTGGGACACTCATCTGCCCTGAGGCTTGGATTCCACACTTCACAGCGAGAATCACGCCTCTGGTCCTTGGTCAGTAACACAGAGCTGAGAAACAGAGCCACCACCCACCCCCCCCACTTCACCCCCTGCCTTTTGGGTCGAGCCTTAATGTATGACAGCGAGCTGGCGCTCACCCCACTGGCTGCTTGTTGACATCATTGACATCGGTGCTGTGACATGTTGGTTTAATGGACGCGGCGCGTGGCATGATTGGGCAGAAGCCTCACCATGGAAGTGTCTCGTGGTTTTGGGGCGGCCCGCCTCGCTCCAGCTGTTCTTGGCAGGGCGCTGCGATGATCCACCACAACTGGAGACTGGTGCCATTTCATTTGATGATCTGATAATAAAACGTATTTACAGAAGCATAAATAGAGCCCGAATTGTCCTAAAATTCGAAAGGTCTCTGGCAACGAGGGGCTGCAAAACGAAATCAAATACTTCCCCTGCTTTTTCCCAGTTTAGCCATTTTTGTTTGAAAAGGCCAGTGAAATACTGTAGGGCTGATTAAACTCAGACGGAATGGGTGCGTGAGGAAATAAAGTGGGTTTTTTTTGGGAGCGTGCTTGCATCCCCAGTTTGCTGCGAGATGGCTATCATTCCAGTAAGATATTAATAAAGGAGTTTATTCCTCGAGACGTGCCCAAACTGACGTGTCCACGTCTTCTCACATTTTGCAGGCCGAGTCGGCTGCAACGGCGAAAACAGCGTCTGGAGAGGAAGAGAGAGGCTCTGCACTCCCTCAGGACTAGGGCATAGAAGTGGGTCCTTCATACATGCCTGCTATATAATGGACAAATCCTCTTTAATGTTTTTGTCATAAAGCAGCAACTGGGAAAAGATGAATCAGGCAAGTCTACTGGACTATAAGCATTAACACCAAACTGCTGGATGTGGCAGAACTGCTTTCAGCTTAAACTGCACTCAGACCTCAGATGTGATTTTTATTTATTTATTGTTTTTCTTTTAGGCAATTGCAAATGTGATCGGACACCAAGAATGCTGGGAAATTTCTAATTGTGTCCGGAAATCTGCTTTCCGTCCTCGCGCCGTTGGATCTCAGATGCCATCTGTTTTTGTTTTCTGATGTGTCTGAACAAATAGGCTCAATGACATGGAAACCATTCACACATCAATCTCTCAGTGAGACCTGACAGAATACCATGGGTCAACCTCTGGCACCTTTTACAATACACGGTAAATGAAGCATATATTCAAATTATTTTGTATATTTTATATTTCCAAGCCTTTTCAAATAGTTTTCTGGGGGTTTTTTGCATTTGTGATTAAATGCACATGTTTGGTGAGCACGCAGCTGTAAAGCGGACAGAACCATAGCATACTTAAGCTCTCACAATGCAGAAGGGCTCACTGAACCTGAGAAGATACATCACAAGAGTGTTTCCACCCTTTGATGACAAACCAGCTATTTGATTGATTCTGTGGGCCTCGTGGATCAGTGAGTCGCATTGTGGCCTCATATCACCCTGACTGTGGGTTCCATTTCAGGCCCTGCTCTGTGTGTGTGGACTCTGAAAATTCTTCCTGTCTTGTGTAGCTTTCCTCCAGATTCCCCACGGTTTCTTCCCACAATCCAAAATCATGTGGTTAGGATAAATTGTTTCTCTGAATAGGGTCTGTGCCCCATGATGGAATATTGTATTTTCCCAGGTGTTTGTCTGCCTTATGCTCTGTGCTTCCTGGAACAAACACCAGGATCTGTGTCACCCTGTCCTGGATAAGCGGTTGTGGGTGATGGCCTCTTGTTTTGAGGTGCTTATTCCTGGATACACCAGTGACGTGGCTTGTGTATCACTTCTGAGGTCACCACAGGGTTGTGGCAGACGTGAGGTCCAGACCCTGGTTACAGGCACTCTGTCTACAGCGATGCCAGATTTCCTCCGAATGATCAATTCCCACCTTTACCGCAGATCAACTGTGAGTTGAGACATGTGGAAAGCGTTTAGCCCGTACTAACCGAAATAATCTCCCAAAAGTAACAGCTATTTGCAAACTGAGCAAATACCCCATTGCTCCAGCTTCCAGCTAATTTAATTACAGACCATAAAATATCAATCAACCCCAGATGAAGTGGGAAGAATATATGATCTTTTGCTTTTCCTTTTTATGGATAATTTGAGGTTATTTACACATGATAAATGAATCCTTAATTGGTCCCAGACATTCAAAATAGGACACAGAGTGCAAGACAAAGAACACCAAACATTATCTTTTCCAAGTCATTAATGCTCACGAGCGCTGAGTTCGCTCAGCTTGATTGATGAATTGTCACAGCAGTGGAGTACATGCATTCCAGCGCCGTGGCTCTTCCATGAGTGGCTCATATCAGTGGGGGCTACAGGGTCATGCCGATGGAGCGATTTGCACACTTGGATTGGGGCGAGACATCTCCTTTGCACTGTTTTGCCAGAGAAGAGGGGGGACTTACCATTGTTTCACATTTGTAATAAACCCCACTGGGTCTTGGGGAAGTCTACTGGAACGAATTCAATGGCCCAATGAACCACAATTCTACCTTGGTACATATTCATTGTACTTCGAGTGTCATTATAGCAATGTACCACTGTTCTTAATTTATTAATAGAACAGTTCAGTATCTTTTAGTTTGACAACACTAATGCTATACCTGTTTGAGTTTGATTACACTAATGCCTTACCTGTTTGAGTTTGACCACACTAATGCTATACCTGTTTGAGTTTGACCACACTAATGCTATACCTGTTTGAGTTTGACCACACTAATGCTATACCTGTTTGGATTTCACCACACTAATGCTATACCTGTTTGAGCTTGATTACACTAATGCTATACCTGTTTGAGTTTGACTACACTAGTGCTATACCTGTTTGGGTTTCACCACACTAATGCTATACCTGTTTGAGCTTGATTACACTAATGCTATACCTGTTTGAGTTTGACTACACTAGTGCTATACCTGTTTGGGTTTCACCACACTAATGCTATACCTGTTTGGGTTTCACCACACTAACGCTATACCTGTTTGAGCTTGATTACACTAATGCTATACCTGTTTGGGTTTCACCACACTAATGCTATACCTTTTTGAGTTTAACTACAATAATGTTCCTCCACTTTATCTGTACACTTTGGATTTGTGGGTTTCACTGGTGGACTGTGTCCGATTATTTCCCTTTAATCAGAACAATATCTGGTGGGGACTGACTGATATAAACAATTTGTCTCTGATACTGATTTGATGATGTGAACTTCCATAACTCAAAAAAGGGCAGAAGCACACAAAGTTTTGAAATAATTTAAACATATAATATGCCACTTTTTGACATAATATTGGATGACAGTGAATAACAGGAATTCTTATAATGCTGTACTCTCAATCAAAGAGCTGATTAAAAGTACGTTACCTGCTGTATTGAACAAAGGTAAGGAGCATGCGCTGATTACAGCGCATTGCCGCTCCGCCACATGACAGACCAGGGTGAGATCCGGAGTGCAGCCTTACAGCGGGTGAGACCTCAGCACCACGCCAGTCCGAATGGACCAGTGTGACCAGTGTGAGTTTTTCCGGTGCCTAGAGTCCCAATCCTGCCTCCAACCCCCAAATTTCCCTGCAAGTCGAACAAAAACACCTTAGAAATTAACTGTGTTCACATAGAAAAAGTCACTTTTGTTTTGTAAGTCTGGTGTAATACAGTATTTCTATTTCCAATTCAATCACTAACATCACGATTGGTTGCTTCTGTACTGCGTATTTGGTTTTCACTCTTTGTTTGGTGTGTTAATTTGCCCTCCCATTTCAGATATGAGGATGAGAATGCCTTTTGCTTTGCACTTGTTGTTGTTTGTATTTTGGGTAATTAGGGTGTTAGGCATAGTGTGCTGTCTCTTCCCCTTTTGGTCTAGGGAAGGTATTGAGTTTATATATTTAGGCAGATGTGGGTTTCCGTTTGTTGTCTTGACACTGGTTATCCGACTCAATCCTCATATATCTAATTCTTGTAAATAAAACTCATGGCAAACAGAATTTCCCTTGGTCTTTACTAAATATACCTACACTCAGTCATGACTCAACCCTATACTGCAACACTTACTCATAATGCCAGGCTAAGAATGATGGGTTATAACATGGGAGGCATGGATTCTGAACTTCTACTCCAGCGAGAGGCCCATTTGTCATCAGAAATGTTTAAAGACATTATTTGTTCTTTATCGGTGGGTTTTCTCCCGATGCCAATGAATTCATGGATGCTTAAAACTAGCCAATATACTGGTTCATTGTCTGCTCCTTGGGCTGTATTTGGCACTTTTACGTTGCTCTGATTCTGTAGCTTATGCCTTAGTTTTTGCTGGCATTGCACAAAGGCCTTTGGTGAGACTCTGTACCAAATAAGGTAAAAGCCATCATGTTAACCCTCTAAGCCCACAAATTCTGAACCTCACGAGCTGTGACTCTTGAGTTTACCAGAGCATGTTGTAGAATTTTCTATTCAGTTATTCTCTCAGCCGGCGCTGCTTTCTGGACATATCTGAGGTGTGGTCTGACCCAAAGTGGCTCCGTACCAAAGCACCTGACATGCGGGCAGCTGCCTGGCGTCTCAAACGTCACAGAGGGGTTGGTCGCAGCCCGAAACGCAGAGGCCACACACTGCTCACCCCATAACACACAGAGGTCTCTTTTCATTTATGAACATGCTGTGGGTGTAGACATAGTCCTCACAGTCATTGTTTAGTTTGTTCTTATAACCAACAGTAATGTAGAAGCCCCCACACAACCAGGTAACCAAAGCTAACTCATCACCTGAGTTATGCCTTAGAATTACTTGCGGTTCTTCTCCTTGTTCCGCTCGACCTTTCCAACCTTATTACAATTCTGGGGTCATACTGATATTACTGTAATGAGGGGACTGAGGTGGGGGGTGTGTGTGTGCAAAGTGTATCAAGCACTAGATTCATTCATTATACCTGTAATAATGTAATATGTACATAGGGAAAATAAATGTCATCTCTCCACCTACCCGCCCCCCCTCCCTCATATTTTCCCAATATTAAAAAACTGACATTTGCACAAGTGTGACAGAGATGTGTCAGCCATCCGTTGGGTGGGGGGGGGTGGTGATGGGGGGGCAAATCAGCTGGCCCACACAGGGCAGTGCACCTTCTCAGGCCAAGATCAGGATCACACAGAGTAGGGGTCACCGCATGGGGGGCGGGAGGGGGGGGGGGGGGGGGGGGGGGGGGGGGGGGGGGGGGGGGGGGTGGAAGCGTGCATCCTGGGGCTGCACCGAGCTACAGACGCACGGCCTTGTGGGCGCCACCGTGCATTAGTGAGAGACCACAGTGTGCAGGTGCCATTTCAAAACCTTCCCTTTTGCCATGTGTGCGACGCGATGCATAAAACAGGGCCGGACGCTCCTCTCAGCACCGTAAAACGCCGATGATGCACAGAAAGATTAGAGCTCCACAGACATATATACACATCGATCCGGACGCGTCCTTTTACCGTAACACTGTGGCACCTGCTAGATCATTTCTTTGTGAAATGACATGATTTAATGTCATTATGGTCACCAGTGGCTCACGGAGGCCAGTTTCCCAGGTAAAGGTGGGAGGAAATGAGAGCATGGAGGTGAGGTCTCAGACCCGTATGAGAGGTTGTCCCGTCTCCTGGGGAGGGAAGACCACCCTGTGAGGCCCCCCCTGCCATTATCAGCTGTCTCCAAACCTTATTAATCCTGAAGCCCCCCTTTCACATGTACGGATAATTAACTGTGGCCCCGGCCCAGTTCTCATGCTACCTGATACCTGCCGACAGCCCCGCTTTAAGGAGGCACAATGATGAAAAG